TTTTTTTTATACAAAATACATACCTAAAGCTAATTTTTTATGGGCTATCTGATGCACATATTTTTATCCGAAAAAAATTTCGTTTTATAAGTATTTGACGTCACGTGATGACGTTTTTTACCGTTTTCCACATTTTTTGCATATGTATAAAAAGCTTTTTCAAATAGTGATTTATTATTGAAAAACCACTGTAAGCTATGAGTAATGTATGTTTTTATTGATTACTAACAAATACCCATAAGAATATAGGGGATTAGTCTAATAAGTTGATTGAATTCAATTAAAATTAAATTACCGATCAAAATCGTTTACCGTTTCTATGATATATACGTAAGGTCGGAGAAACTCAAAATTCCAGTAAACGTCTTTTCTCGATGATTTATATATGGTTAGATAGAGCTCATAAAACTGTCTAAGAAAATGTACTTTAAATTTTTTTTCATTCTTTTATATACATAAAAATCTCAAAATACTGAGGTCATTCTGTTTAGAATGATCTCAGTAATAGAATAATCTTAGTATTTTGAGTTTTTTATGTATATAAAAGAGTGAAAAAAGATTTTAAAGTACAGTTTCTTAGACAATTTTATGAGCTCTATCTAACCATATATAAATTATTGAGAAAAAATTGTTTACTGAAATTTCGAGTTTTCTCGACCTTACACATACATTGCTATACATATTAGTGAAATTAGTTGGTTTTTTTTACAATTTTTTTTGTATTAAAAGGATTAATAAACACAGCATTTAACATGTGCATACTTTAATCTTTAGAATAAAAATAACATCTAGTCTTTACAGAGGTGTACATATGACAAAATGAAGCATAGAAAAAAAACTCTTACAAAAGTCATCGTCATCGCGTTACGAACCCGTCATCGCGTTGCGTTAATGAAACTGATCACCTTTCAAAACAAGAGGCTTGTTTGGAAATTTTTTTTATCCGTTGGATACTTCAAACTCTTAGCTACATACCGTCTATGAAGCGTTTCTTTCAATGAAGTATACATTCGCAGAAAAATAAAGAACAACCATGTCACTCTCAACTTTTTGTCCCTTGTTCATTATCGCGTTACGTCACATATTTCTGCTATAATTTTCAAACGGCTTGTTCAAATGAGTTCATATTTTCAGAGGTTTGGGGGAAGACTGAGGCACATCTTCCACCGAAAGGACGAGCCTTCTAGATAACCTCATTGTTGAGAAAAGTTAATAAGACTGGACAAAACGTCATCGTGTTACACTTGGACAAGCCGATTTACATACATATTTCAGATAACTATTCCAGTTTCACAAAATATGAATATTAATCTGTCAAAAGATGTTTGACTTTCCTTTTTGGTGTTATTAGATATTTTATTACTAGACATTTGTTTATCCAAACTAAGAATCTAGTAGCAATATCTGCAATGCGAGTGTGTTAGATTGATACAAAAATTCGTTCCAAAGCAAATGAAATGATCTTGGGTTGTTTATGATGATAACGATATTAGTTGCAATACGGTAACCCCCCCCCCCCCCCCCTATAATAGAGAATCCCCCAATATTAGAAGACCTCTCTGAGGATATGATCTGCTAAGCGTAATAAAAGACCCCCCTAATTTTAATTAATATTTACAAATTATTAAATTAATAATTAATATTTTTTAGTTAAAAATGCTTACTTTTCAGGAGTTTTTTACTAAACAAAGACTTGAGCCCCTGGAAAAACCCTGGAGAACTCTGAAAAATCCTGGAAAAATCCTGGAGAACCCTGGGAAACCCTGGAAAAATTCTGGAGAATCCTCGAAAACCAGGGAGGATTTTCCAAAAGGTTTTTTAATTGAAACTCATGGAAAAATGTATATCGTAATAGAAGACCCGGAAGAAGTTTGTTCTCTAAAACACAATAGAAGATCCAGGGTCTTTTATTCTGGAGGGGGGGGGGGGAGGTTAATATTATTTTCAATTGAATATAAACCACGTTCCGATTCTACTGAAGATGAATCATGTTCTGGTTCTACTAAAAATGCACAACGTTCAGTTACTGAAACTACACTTTTACTTCATAATTTATTTAATTTTATTTGAATTTTACACATCGGAATAGAGAAAATTAAAGATTTCATCATCGATACAACAAAAAAGTTGAATTTACAACAATCTCTTCATGTATCTCTAAAATAAAATAGAATAGAAACAAGAACGTGAGTAGACGTAAATAAAGGGAACAACATTCCAGTAGTGAAATAGGTCAGAAGAAGTCTCGTTGTAAACTTTATCTTTGATTAATATAAATATTAATTCCAATCAAAAACAGATTTTTCGATCAAAAAACAACATATTAAATTTGTAGACATAATGTGCTGCTCACCCAATGCTTTTATGAGCAACGTATAGAACAGCGTGTACATTAGACGCAGTTAGTGTTTTTTACATCGATTACGTTTGGTACACTTGCTATTCGGAATGTTGATCTGCAATGCTTCTTATTTAATAGTTAGATCATAGGAGGTCTTAACGAATGTATTCAATTTATTGAAATACATTAATTTGATATTGAATAATCAAGTATCTCTATTATGAGCTGAAAAAGATATGCTTTGTTTCGAAAATCATCTTGCAATATAAGTATCTCACAAAATTTTATTTTGGATGATTTAGAACATACATTTGCGGCAAATAAATGCAAAGAAAAAAATCTTTTCCATTTAGTAGTGATATAATAATGACGAATCATCTAATCTTGACTTGTATTGGTTTCTGATGGTTTTTTCACATATTCTTTGTAAGTACCAAATAGACGATCAAAATCAATTAATGACACTCCATAATTACATTCAAAAAGTGCATGATGTAGATAATGAAAACCTGAACCACCAGCTGGATCATCATAACCATCATGACCACCAATTGGTGCAATGTCAGCATGAAATTTAGCATAAAGAAAATGAAGTGGATGACATGAAAAAAGTAGAGGAAAATAAGCGCATGTATAATAAAAAAAAATGTTCAACTGGATGCATTGATAATCCAGACCATGGATCTGGATTTCGACTTCGATGATGAAGACTGAAAATGACGATAAAGTAATGCACAAATATCACCTTCACGTAAACCATATAGAACAGACCACCATGGATGCATTAAACGATGAATCTATGAAAAAAAAATAGATTTTGCAGCTGAAAACTTAATATCTAAATTTACCTAATAGAAATGAAATTCTCTCCAATAGGTAACACCTAAAAGAATAAAAATTGAAAAGAATGGTCGAGACCAAAAGTCACTATAATATGGTAATCGACCACTAGCCCATAACCACATAAAAATACATTGAACAAAAGCAGATTGTAACCAACCAAGTGTTGTAAATGTTATTTCTCTTAATAAATGATGTTGTCCTTTTTCTTCATAAGGATTAACTGGATTAAATTTCTTTTCATGTGATGGTCCTTGAGGATATGGAATCATACGTGCATAAGTCATCCAATGCCAAAACGAATAAAGAATAAATTCACAAGCTTAATTATAAAGAAAAACACGAGATACCCATTTAAAATGCCATTCATTTGCTTCAGGAAATGTCATTGGAAATATTCAAAACCAACATAAAAGTGCAGCAATAAAATCAAGTGCATGACCTAAATGACACCAAATAAGATAATCAAATGCTTTTCGTTGCCAATAAGACCATTGTGCATAAGTTTTGAATATTAATGGAGCTGAATAATTTTTTTGACCAGTATGAAGACGATGAATTCCAATGATATTCCGAATACCAAATGTCATTATGATTAGATAGATTCTTAAAAGACTAAAAATAAATTATTTTTAAAATTCTCTTCTAACATATACTGCTAGCTAGCTTCAACTAGTTTGTGTCAAAGATATGTCGGTCTTATGATTTATTAAGGATCAAGTTCTCCTTTTTTCTCATTTTTGTCTTCATAAAGACAAGAACAGTAACAAAAAAAAAAGTTATATCTATTATTTGTTTTCTTCTTCTTCCTTACATAGATACAACTCTCTATTTTGCGCACAAAATCAAAGCTAGTGAGTGCAATTTAATATTGTTAATATTCAAAGATTTTTGGTGTAAAATATCACAACTGATACAGTGATATCCATCTTGGTGCGGCAGTGATAACTTTTTTAACGTTCATCGCAGTGCGCTAGCTTTTCAGCCACAATGGACATCTCTCAATTGATATACCTTGGTGTTTTCTCCTCGGGTAGAGAATCATGACTCAGGTCAACGAATACGGAATCCGTATACGCTCGTAAACGACCGTACACGTTCAGTATGTCTCCGTATGTGACTGTATTTTGGTGTGTTACGTGGTTCAGTATTACGATCATATATCTTCATGATCGTATACGGAGAAATACGATCGTATACAGACAAAAAACGGAGCAAAATGGAGATCGTATACGGAAGCCGTATTCGAAAACTGTAAATGAACGTATTTTTCTCCATAAATCACCGTATTTCTCAGTATACGACACGGAGATATACAATCGTATTACTGGACCATGTAAATCATCGTATTTCTTCGCATACGATCGTTTACGATCGTGCTTGTTTAACCTGAAGAGACATGTCACGTAGCTTGCACACGTGCTGATCATAATGTATAGGTGAAAGATAAAAACACATCTGTTTACCTCCAACTATTGAAATGTTTTCTAGAGTGTTTGAAAATAACTGAAGGGTAGTTATAATATTCCAAATAGTATATAAGTAAGCACTATCTTATATCTCATTGTTCTACTCTATTATCCGTTTCAAAATATAGTGCGCTTCACTGGTTTTTGAATAACTGAAGCACGCAAACAGCTAGAGACCTGTGGTTTTCACCAATCGAAAGAAGAGATCAGGGAACATATTTTTCTCCAATATTGTATACGATTAAATCATTATAAAATCAGCCATTTCTCCAAAACATTACAAAAAAGTGCATCAAAATGATCTGGCATGCTGAGAAAATTTTAGTTTTGACATGTGATCTAGAGAGAGGAGTTTCAGATCTATAGTTCAAGATATAATTCAAATGATTATCCTCTCAATCCTTGTTAGGATGTACAGACTAACCTTCCCTATTTTATTCGAAACTAAACTCTATGTACAAAAATGATCACAACATATACATATATACACATATCACTATACAGAGACAAAAGAAAACAAAGGATAAAAAAATGAGAAAGACAAAGAATGAGAAAAAGAGAAGGACAACTACGTGAAGAAAGGAAAGAAAAGATAAGTGGTGGCCTGGATAATAACCACTATGTAACAATCCTAATGCTGAGCAAATAAAATCGTCTATTTACTTGCACAGAAACTGTGACAAATAGAACAGCAGCCACGATCGGTTTCGACCTTGCTGAAGGCTGACCTCCTCTCACCGATCGAAGCTATGTTAGCTGACCTCTGCTATAAGTCTCTTCACTAAACAAAGCTCTCCTATCGGAGAATCCGGTCATGTCAAGCCTTCGCATCCATGGTTAAAATGATTAATTTATGTTCGGATAGCATCAATATGTTTGATAAAATAATGTATATACATAGTTTTGTTGAATAATAATAACGTATTGATGCTGTAGGATTGTAATCATTCATCTCATAGTTTGGTTTCATATGTTTTTTTTGATTTTATAAAGCAACTACTTCTATTAACGCTTTCGACGGATAAATATTTATTAAAACTTTCAAAGAAATAATTCTTGGCTCTCCCGATAATTTAATTATACTTTTATATACAAATCGTTTACAAGAAGTGAACTTTTTCTTTAGTAAATTCTTCGACATAAGAATTCATCTTGAGAAGTGTAAACCAATCGGTTGAGCCGTCACTGCCAATGGCTACAAGATTTTCAAGATATCTTGTTACAGTCATTAACGCTCTAATAGTTCACTCGAGTCGCCGTTGTTCTCATAACTAGTTGCTGAAAATTTCAGCCACCACTGTCACGACATAGAAATAGATAGTGCGGACACTGTTTGAAAATTTTCTAATATCCAAGTTCAATTTTCAAGGATGTTCTTGTTTAGTTTCTTATCATTATTTTCTCTACAGTCATTTTCTCTCTTATTCATTTCAAAATTTCTCGAAACTAAGAAAATTAAAAGAAAATATCAACATCAAAAACTTCCAGTCACCGCCGCCACTACTGATTAATCCATCGGTTTCAACCTTTATTCATCTCTGATAATCTTATTTATTCATATCTGCATTGATTTGTTTTTTTTTTGAGAACAAAAGAATTTATATATTGGAAAAAGAACAACAACAACAAAAAAAACCCAAGATTATTATTCTGTCTGTTGATCATCTTTTCTAGTTGTTTTATTTTTTGAATGTGCTTGTTGCCATAAAGCATTTCGCATAAGTCGAGTTGATGCTTGTTTATCAATTCGTGCTGCTGATTGTCTATCAACAACTGATTTTAATTTATCCATATAAGATTTTACTCGATCTAATTCACTTTTTAATTGTGTTTGTTTCGGATCAACACCACGTGTTCTTAAATAAGCCCACATTAATGAATTAAGTGTATAAACAGCAGTTAAATCAAAACGAGCTTGATCAAGTGATGTAAGATTTTCATGAAGTGCTGTATAAGATGCTGAATCAAGTCGAGAAAGAAATGTTTCAAGTTCATTTAAGGAATTTTCAAGTTGAGTTGCTCGTGCATTAAAATCAGCTTCAAGTTCAGCATCGGGTCGATTAGATTTTGTTGTCATTTTATTTATATTTATATATATATATATATATCTGAAGTAAAAACCAAAAACAATAAACAAAAAGCAAGCTAAATCAATAACAGTTTAAGGAAAAAATTGATAAAATAAAGAAATAATAACTAATTTCGTCCTCGTCCTCGTCCACGACCTCCTCCACGAGCAGAACCTCTTCCTCGATTACCACCACCCCGGCCTCTTCCACGACCTTGACCACCACGTCCACCACCTCTTGGTCCTCCATGAATATTACCACGTCCACTAGTTGGTCGATTTTGCATATTACTAATATAAGTTACTGTCCGTTGAATAGCTTCAAGAAAATATTCATGACAAAGTATACATGCTGATGAAAGAGAAGATAAATCAGGACTTTTTTCCTAGAAAAAAAAAAAATATTCATTTTATCTTTCTTATTATTTTTTTTCTTCAAAAATTTCTACCTTATTAAATTCTATATCCATTAATGCTGTATCACATTGTTCACAAAATTCACCTTCTTTCATTGTTATCTTTTGAATAGCTTCAGGTAATGTCAAAACAAATGAACATCTTAAAATGAAAATATTTTTCATATTTAATCTAGAATTTATTTTAAATTTTACATACTTATTACAAGCAAGACGATATTTTGGTATTGATGTTACATCTAATAGAAATATACCTTGTTTACATATATAACAAGCACATATACCATTAACTTCAAGTGAATAACGACATGTTGGATGTGTACATTCATTACAACCAACATTTTTACGCATATCTTTAAATGGTGGATTATTATAACAATATGGACATAAAGAAAAATTCTAAATGAATACAAAATAAATAATTTAAGAAAAAAAAAAAATTTACTTTTGCATTATTATTAGCAACATATTGAACCAGTTCGAATTCATCTAATGGACATCGAAGTTCTTTAAATGCTTTAATAGTACCATTTTGTGGAAGATTATATGTGTCTTTACATATTTCACAATGTAAACGACTAGGTCTTGATTCAATTAATTTCATATAACGACGACATTTTCCACATCTATTTAAAATTAAAATCAAGATTTTAATTATTTGAAATAATTTAGAAAAAAAAAGAAACAAAGAAATCTTACCGAACAAATGGTTTTCCACTAGCAGCTAATGATGAAAATGATACTTCAAAAAGTGAATCCATTCCTTGAATATGTTGAACAAAATAATGAAATTTTTGTTCAAATATTCGAATTACATGTGAAACTAATTGTTGATAATTAACACGACCTAGAGCAATCTAACAAAATAAATATATGAAAATTCACTCTTTATTGAATATAAAAGAACAAACTTCATTAAGTTCTGTTTCAACTGATGATCTCATATGAGGTAAAGATAATTCCGGATCAATCTAATATCATATAAAATAAAAAAAATATTAAAATATTTTCTCCAAGGAGGAAACAGCAGAAACTTCAATCTTCGAACTCTCATGAAATCTGTCGAAGCCTTGAAGCTATAGCTCTTAATATACGATCAATGGCGGAGATAGAGAAGATTCAGCTTGCTCTGTGGACTTTTGAGCCCTCCTAGTCCAAAATCCTGATTCTGCTATAGTGCGCGTTTCTTCCTCTTTGTATTTCTTACTTGAGACTATTATTATTTGCCTGTTTTTTTCGATAATGAGTATGTAGCGAGGAAGTACAGACTTCACTGTATCGCACCATATATTAATCATAAATAACAAATAGAAATCGAACAACAAAAAATACCTTAGAAAAAAAGATAGTATTCTTTTTCCACTATAACATATATTTTATCTGAATAATAAAAAAGAAAATATTTATATGGAAGATTGATCATAATATACATCAGTTTCATAGATAATAGAACATTTGCGATATGTATTGCTCATTTTTTTCTCTTGACAATGAATAAAAAGTTTTTTTTTGTTTGTTGTTGTTTATCATGCGATATAGTAAAGTCTGTGCTTTTTTCCTAAATATTTCATTATCGACAAAAAACAAAAATGAAAGCTATAAAAATCTAAAATGTAAGAAGTACAATGAGGAGAAATTTAGCTGAGGTACATTATATATTGAAATCTTTGAATTTCCTTGAAGTCTGCTGTTTCTCCCTCAATTTTATGTCTTTATATTTATACCTTTTGATAACCATGAACAAGTACAATACCTAATGATGTTGGTATTAAACGTCGTCCACTATCAACTTTAACATAATTTCGTTCACAAATATTATTAATATGTACTGGTATACTTGCATCTGTACCAATACCATGTTTTTCCATTAATGATATAAGTTCACTTTCAGTTAAATAATCAGGTGCTGTTGTATGTCGTTCATCCATTTTAACATCTTCAATTGTAAATATTTCATTTATTGTAAATGATGGCATAGGTTCATCATTTGAAACACGTTTCCATGGCATAATGGATGTAAAACCAGGTTCAGTAACATTTTTACCTGATAATGAAAATGTTTCATTTGATACATCAAATAAAATTGTTGTTTCTTCATATATACAATCAGGACTAACCTGAAATAAGATGAAAACAAAAAAAAAAACACATTTTTATATTCCTATTCTATTCAATTACTATACATCATACTGTTGCAATAAAATGTCGACAAACATAATCATATACACGCCAATAATCACCACCACCAACAGATGATGAACTAGCTGCTTTAACTGGTGTTATTGGAGGATGATCACCAACATCTTTGCCTCGTTTTGGTGGTGTATATTGTCCATCTGATAAAAGACTATTTATATGACTTCGCCAATCGGAATCCGAACAATTAGATAATTCACGAAGAACACTCCTAAAAGACAAAGAACAAAAAACAAAACACACATTTAAATAAAAATTTTTAATAGATTTACTTAAGATCAGCATTTTCAGCATATTGTGTAGTTTCTGTACGTGGATAACTAATATAACCTGATGTATAAAGACGTTCAGCAATTTGCATAGCATGATGAGGACTCATACCTAATAGAAAATAATAATACTTTGCACAATAAAAGAATAAGATTCTTACCAAGACCAGCACTAGCTACTTTTAATAAATCAACAGTATTTAATGCATTTGGACGTCCTTTATGTTTCTTTTCTGTTTTAACAGATATAACTCTAGATTATAAAATCATTTAATAAATATTATTGATTCTAATTGTTTTTTTATTTTTATTTTTACCGAACTTTATTTACTGCTTTAATATTATTAAGAAAAAAATAAACGATTTCTTTATCAAATACATGACCACGATCCCAATAAAGTTTGAAAATTTTATCATTTGTATGTTTTATCTAAAAGAAAACAATAGAAAAATTTTGTTTTTTGTCATGACCAAATATTTTTCAATTTACTTCAGCAGTTAATAACCAATAAGGTTCAGATTGAAATGATTGTATTTTATCATAACGATCAACACAAAAACCAAGTGTTGGTGTTTGACAAGGACCATAAGATATACAACTACTATCTAAATCACCATATTTTCCCTAGAATAACAAACAAAAAAAGATAATACAAACTAATTTATATAATAGAATACTTGAAAATATCGAGTTTGAAATCGTGTAAATGCACAACCAATACGTAAATCAAGTTCTTGACGAGCATCAACAGATAATGATTGATTTTTATCTGGATAAGAAAGATTAGTAAATGCATGACGAATATCTTTATCAGTAATAGAACTAAATTTTGCACGAAAAATTTTTGCCTATTTTAAAAAAACAAAAGAAAAAAGAAACAAATTATTCGTAGTTTTTTAATAATAATTAAATGATTTTTTTTTTTATACAAACATTTTGATTCATTGAAGTCTTAATACAATCAAGTACTTCAAAACAAATATTTTCTCCTTCTTTATCACAATCTAACCATAATACAATTACATCAGCACCTCGTGATTCTTTTTCAAGAAAAGCTGGCATATGATGACCTGCCGTTGCTTCTTTTTTTAACGTTTCACCAGCAAATAATTCAGCCTAATTAATTAATTTATATATAGTGATACCAAAAATTTTTCATACAGATTTAATTTCGATCTTTTTCCGTAATAGTAATATGCATAAAAAATCCAAATATTGGCTTGAATAGAGAAAATTGTTTTCAATAAGCATTTGAAGGAAATACCATCTTCGCAGTATTTTCAAAAATCCAGAATCTCGTGAAAACTCAAAATCTGGTTTTTCAGTACCTATAACTTGAAAAATAAAAGTTTCTTTTGATTATACAGACCAACATTTTTGAACTCTTCACGACATTTTTTTTTGCCATTTCCCTAAGGGAAAAACTGGATAAAAAGAACTTTTGGATTTCTCTTAAAATCGATACCATTCAGTCAAAAACTGTTGTGGAGAACTCAGTGATATTTCATTTTGTCGAGAATTAGTTGCTCTATTAATCTCTGTAATTGAAAGAAATTTTTATTTTCGGACTCGATGTGTTGAAAAAATCAGATTTTTGATTTTCTTGAGATCCTGGATTTTGTGAATATTTAATTTCAAATCACTATTTGGATTCTTCATGCGAATTACCATTTTGGAAGAAAAAATTGAAATTAAATCTGTATGATCAATTTTTAATATCATTGTATGAAATTTTTGATATAAGAAAAAAAAAAATTTAAACACAATAGAAAATCTTACTGGATCAACTTTATCCCAATTATTATAACGTGGAACAAAATCAATACCAAATACATGTCCAGCTACTGATGTCATACGATAACGAGCGGATGGATTTGATTGAAATTTTCCTGTCCATTCATGAACACTACAAACATTATTAAAACCTTTTCTTGATGATAATTGACCATTAGAAAGAATTTGTGATATTGATAAAGCCAATGATGGCTTTTCAGCAACCATAAATATAATCATTATTTTTAAAAAAAATCTATTTGAATTAAAAAAAAAAAAAAGAAAAAGAAGAAGAAAAACCTATGAAGATCGATTCATACACTTTTTCTGTTATTTGTTTGTCTTTTTAAAAACATAACAATGATTTCATTTTAACAAACAGAAAAAGAAAAAGAAAAAAAAAGGACCATGATGTTCTTGGCTAAATTTTTGATCAAGATTATTAAGATTACATATTTTTAATAATATCATCAATTTCTTCTTTTTTAAATAAACGATAACCTTTAGCATCAACTGTAGCCATTTCAACATTTGTTGCATTTAATTTTTCTTCCATAACTTGTTTAAGAATTGTTAAAACATGTTTACATGCTTCTGATAATTTCATTGATTTATGATAAACATCTTGAAGTGTTTGATCAGCACCTTCACTACCTGATCCAATTGCTTTAGCATCATATTCTGTATATGTACCTGATGGATCAAGATGAAATAAATGTGGACCATTTTCATCCCAACCAGCAAATAAAAGTGCAACACCAAATGGACGTGATATAGGTGCAACTTCATCCGAATCATCACTAAATGCTAATGCCATATTTGATACAGCTTGAGTAATTGATTCAATTGTCATACGTTCATTATGTGTAAACCAATGATTTTGTGCTTCAACACGTGCTTTATCAATTAAAGTTTTTGCATCAGCAATTAAACCAGACATTGCACAACCACAACTAAAATAAATTTATTTATTTATATACATTTATCTATTAAAGAAAATTTCTCAATATAATAACTAACTGTGCATCAACTTCAACAATTTTTTCGATACTACGTGGTTCAATAAGTACGGATGTAATACGTTTTTCCGTAGCTAAGACAACACCTAAAAAAAAAAGCCAACGTAGAATGAAAGATATTATCTAAATTAATCATATCTGATTTAAAAAACATTCAGTATTAAATATTCATCAAGTGAAATTAAACATTTTATGAAACAATCTGAAAGAAGTGTTGAAGTATAGAGGTAAAAATTCGCACTGACTTGACTGTGACAGATGTTACTGATATACGATCATCAACCGCATATCAATAACGTCTCAACTTTACTCAATAAATCATGATGCTATGATCAAAATACTCCAAAAATGTCAACTACTGCTTAGCATCAGTCAGGAATAATCAAAGTTTTTGATCCAAGTACTATGATTTATTGAATCAATTTTTTTATTAAAATGATCACCGCAACAAATTCTACAGAAAATTATCTGAAAATCTTTTGTTTAATGTGATTGAGTATTCGTTAAAAATATGATTTTCAAATAATTTATTGTTTGAAATATATTTTATATATTTAATTTTCAATATTATTTTATCTAACCTTCTGGTGTCATAATTCCAATAGCTGTTGTACCGAATTTAATAGCTTCAATAGCATATTCAACTTGAAAAAGACGACCTTCAGGTGAAAATGTATTTACACCTCGATCATATTCACTTCTTGTCATAAACATTTCTAAAAATTTCTTTCTTTTTTATTGACTCGGAAATTTTAAAGGAAAATACGTATTGAAGATGATCTAGAATACTAACAAAAACATATATCTTTTATTTCGATCTACAATCGACCACAAAAAAAAATCTCGTTTTTGTCTCTCAGATGATAGGTGTATATATATATATATGTATGTATGTAAATTATGTACAAACAACCAAAAGAAGAAAGAAAAAAGAGAGAGAGAGAGAACTGAATGAATACATATAATGATGATAATATTAATAATAATGATGAAGTATATAATGAGTTTGCTAAAAGAAAAGCAAAGACGGATACACAAAATGAAAATGAATTGTTTAAGATTGATGAACTTTATTTGGTAATTTTGGTATTGGTGGTAAATTAATCCAATTAACATTAACACTTGATATACGTAAACGAAGTTTAGGTGCAAATACACGCATATCACCTAATTTTAAACCATGTTGTTCTTCATATTGTGCTATAATACGAGCATATTTTTTCGATGGATCTTCTTGTTGTTGCTGTTGTTGTTGTTGTTGATGATGTTGTGATGGTGGACGACTTCAATAAAAAAAAAAAAAAAAAAAAACATTTTTTTTTCTAAATATCGATTTAATTTATTAAAAAATAAAATAAAATTTACCCTCGTCGTGCCGGTACTCGTATTGTTTGTTGAAATTCTTCTTCTTGTTGTTGTTGTTGTTGTTGTTGTGTATCTTGATTAATATCATATTCTTCATCCTCTTCATATTTTCTATAACGATGTTGTTTTCCATATTGTGAATGACGATTCATACCAGCGGACATATAATCATCATCATTACGCATACGTTTTCTCATTTGTTGTTGATCATCATCATCATCATTTTCATAATATCGTTTTGTATTTTGATAACCAGTTGTTCGTTTATATGGTTGAGCTATTGTTGTATTACGAAATTGTAAACGATTTTCTTCATCAATTATTTCTTCACCACCAGGACCTTCAATATGTTCAGTTGTTAAACCAACTTGTTTCTAAACAAAAACAAAATATTAGATTTTAATTTTTTAACTCAATTTGAAAATATTATTGAGAATTTATAAACGACATATTTCGATACTTCATACACGCTAAAATATTCAACAAGTATAAATTTTCATCAGAGAAATTGAAATTTTTGTTCTACTCAAAGTTTATTCTTTGTATTGTCTTTACTTCTATCTTACTCTATATAATTCACAAGTATCTGAAGATTTTCTTTTGAAGTAAAACACTAATTATCAGTGTTTTATCCATATTTTTTCTCTTTCGGAGGAACGATTTAAAACATCAAGAAGGCGAGCATCTATTTTTGGAAGCATTGATACATAGAATGTGCTAAAATAACCACAAACTCTAAGAAGGTCAATGCGATCCTCGGAGAAGCTACGAAAGGCTGCAAGAATTTCTTAAGGTATATTGTAGAAAGGTCGAAAAGACTCATATCCACCCTGGGGACATCACTTTTTTCTTTCAGCCTTTCTACGATCGACCTTTTTTAAGGAAAAGGAACCACCACAGGTTGTTTTTAGCTTGTGAAAACTATTCACTTTCTAGTCCTCTTCAGATATTTAAATGTTTTTTGAGAAGAGATTGATCCGTTCAATGTCCCTGAGAGAAGCATTGTCCTCACAACCTCATGCTCTAGATAAAGTACTACTATTGATTATGATCATATTCAATAAGAAGATTTGTCAATTAAATTAATTAATTTACTTTTCCAGGGGATGTAACTTCAATTTGACTTTTTGATGATGCATCTGTTGTTGTTGTTGTTGTTGTTGTTTGAGTTGTTGGACTATTTGATGATGAATCAATAGTTGCATCTTGTAAAAGCATTTTTTTTGATTCTGGTAATTGTTCATAAAAACTTGGTAACATATTACCAATATAAGATGATTTAATTGTTCCACCAGTTGGTTTACTAGGTGGTAATGATGGTGGTGGTAATTTAACTGGTGATGACATTGTTTTAGTGCTTGTTGTTTGAATATTTGTTTCATCTTCATCAAGTTCTTGATCTTCTAACATATCCATTTCAGTAACTGTTGGTGCAATATCATCATCAAGATCATCCTCAGCAATTGATGAACGTATATTATTTGATCGAAAACGTTGTACAGCTAATCGTGCAGCTGTACGTTTTGGTGGTTTATTACGACGTACAATTGGTTGATGAAGATCACCTTCTAAACTATCATCATCTTCTTCTTCTTCATCAAAATCATCACCTGAATTAAAATCATTTGAATGACGAAATGTAACACGTTTTGATGATGCACTTGGAGGATATTCTGAACGAGGATAAAGACGTGGTGGAGGAGGAATATTACGACGTATTTGAGGATTATTACCA